AAGCTAAATTTGTTTTCTTTTAATCACGATACTTATATTATAAGTATATATGGTAAATAAATACCAAACACAATTGACTCGCAAATTGGACATACGTTAAGTGTGAAGCTAGTATCTTAAATATCTAAATTGCGAATAGTATTATATAACTCCAAGAAATAATTTGTTTCTTGTGTCAAAAAAATGTTTGTAAATGTCATAGTAAGTTCTCGAGGAGATTTACCAAAAGCTCCTATGATCGATCTTTAGTTTAAGGAACCTTCGCCATATTCATTTGTTACCATAATACTATCATATATTAATTTCTACACATGAACTTAATTAATGTCCTAACCGATTAGAAGTTATCACAATTTAACACTTAAACTCTTCGCAAACACTTAAACTCTTCGCAGTCGTCTTTAGATGAGTGGTCCGTATATAAAATCTTTCCCCCTATCTAGTTGGTCAACTCGTTGACCAAAAGAAAAAAAAATCTAGTTGGTCAACTCTATTTTCATAGTTGACTTAATTTGATTTCTTTTGCAGATTAGAGTGGGATAAAGATTGGAGCAATAAAAAAGAAGAGCAGGATAAGGACGAATTATATTGTTCTGATTTTTTCTTTTGGCTTTTACATATTATAAATTGTTTTAAGTTATTTTAATCAAACAAACCACCATTGTTTAAATAAAAGTATGATTTCTTAAAAGGGTTTTAAGAGAAGAGCTCACCGTACCGTGTTGAAACTGAGATACTGTCGACAATGGAGGCCGAGAGAGAGTCTGATCCAAGTTTCCAATCTCACTTAACGGTTAGTCTACTTTACTTGTTGAGCTGGGAATTTTTTTTCAGATGATAGCGATATCAATTGGGATTTTTGTACCCTTTCGAGGTTGGTGTGATTGAGGTAGCTGTGATTGAGGTAGCTCTTTACTTGTGTGCCAAGAATCTAACATGGATTGACCTTTATGAAAGATTGTTGGTCAAGTAACAGGAAAAGGAGCACCCGTTGATGTTGCTTATGGTGCAAAATCTTTGGCCAAAACTGATGCAGAGAACCCTAGTGACCCGAGGCATTCAAAGATTCGTTTGACTCATGATCAAGGGGATCAAAGTGAGGTCAGAGCAGAAGATGAAAAGGTTGAATTAAACCTTCTTGAACCAGTTATGTGCGAGCAGACACCGGTCGGTGTTGCTATTGGTCTGGCTAGAACCTCCATAGATGGCTTAGCATGGTACGTGAAGACAACCCTTATCGAGGAAGGTGAAGACATAGGCTGCCTACATGTACTGGGCCGCCAGGTTGCAGTGGATACTTACCTAAGCGCTTGTACCGCTTACAAATTCGCCAAACAAATCCTGCTCCAGAAACAATCCGACAACACCTTCTTTGCGAATTCCAACCTTTCTATACACTTTCCTAGTGTTAAAGGTCAAAGCGCAGGCTGCACCATCACCACTTCCTTGCTATCACTTGCCATGAAAAAGCCTGTGAGGAAAGATCTTGCAATGACCGGAATGATAACTGAAACCGGTAGGATTCTTCTAGTTACCGGCGTAAGTGT